ATAAACGCATGGATTAACATTTCTGCATTTGACATTGAGAGCATTGGTCGTAATTTAGATAGATGGAGAAATTGGAGAAATGCAGTTTTACAAATGCTAGAAACGTGGCTTTCTAAGGAAAGATTGCTATCACCTAGGTTCCACAAATGCTAGAAACATGACTTTGAAAGGAAAGATTGCTATCAAATACACCTAGGTTCCTAACTGATGACGAAAAATTGACAGCACAGCCTTCAAGTGTTAGACAGTGTTCTAGATTATTACATGAGGTTTTTGGTTCGATAATTAACACCCGTTTGTTTTTTTTCAGAATTTAGCAGTAGGAAATTACTAGTCATCCCGTTTTTTTATATCAGCTATGCATTCTGTTAGTTTTGCGAATTGGTATGTTTTGTCCGGGTTGTGAAGAAATGTAGAGCTAAGTGTAGAGCTTCCTGATGATATCTCCCAAGGGTAGCATGTAAAGTGTGGAAAAACAACGGTCCTAGTACTGAGCTTTGTGGTACTCCATACTGCACTTGTGATCTATATGATACCTCTTAATTCACTGATACAAATTGATGGCAGTCAGATAAGTATGATTTGAACCATGCTAATGTGTGGTCGATAGTGTCGAATGCAGCGCTAAGATCCAATAGCACTAATAGAGAGATACAACCACGATCAGATGATAAGAGCAGGTCATTTGTAACTCTAATTAGAGCAGTCTCAGTACTATGATACAGTCTAAATCCTGACTGGAAATCCTCACAAATGCCATTTTTCTCTAAGAAGGAATATAATTGTGAGGATACTATGTTTAGTGCTCATTATACCACGGTGTCAGACTGTTTTCCTTAATCTTCCTTAAGCGTAAAGGAGCAATAGAAGTTAACTATTGTGTATTAGAGCTAAGAACAGAAGAGGATCTTTCATGGGGTCTAAAAAACAGATCGAACAGATATTTGATGGGGTCTCAAAAAAGGTTTCAGGTCTTATGAAAAGATTTGAGGGATCCTGAAAGCGAGAATCTTAACTTTTCGAGTTTTATAAAGCAAAAGATTTTTCGGATCCACATATCATGTGATGGAGGGATGATGTGTTTCTCATCTAGCTAAAACAGTGGTATAGGTGATAACTGGGCGAGATCAGACAGTCAAGTCAGGTCTTGGGATAATACCAAAAAGAGCAGTCAAGGGGTTGGGGCCCAAGTCTATATTAAGAGCATTATTAAGTGTATCAAAGACATTGGACCAAAAGTCTGTCAGTCGAGGGCAACCATTTTGCATTTTTGACCATAAAGCATATTATTCCAGTGCCCTTTGCAAGGGACTGTGAGGACCACATGTTGGAAACCACTGCTTTACATACTCAGCATGGACATAATACTTTTGAGCTACTCTGCCTATAGATTTTCTGCATATTATAATAATTTCTCATAATTCGTTTTGCAGCTGTAGTAGTAGTAATAATAGTAGTAGAAGCAGTAATACTTCTGTTAATAACATGACAAGGCTTGTCATGTGAAGCCAAAATGACGGCACCCATGAGGGGGAGACAAAACAGCTTTTTCTCGACTGAATGTGTAGACTGGAGAGTTCATTTCTTGCGGATGCTCATCATTTAAATCTATATCTTAACCTATATCTGAATGCTGTATTTAAGTACAGAACATAATGTTTTTCTAATATGCATATTGTTCTCCATTGACACATAAAGCTGAAAATATGAATAAACAAACTGAATCACGTACTGGATTTTGGCAGAGAAAATCATGATGGGATTGAGCATGCGAAGGACCCTATATGTGGAGTTTGTGAAACATCATCCATACAATTAATACAGTACCATATTCGATTCTGCTTTAAAACTTACTAGTAGGTGTTGTGGCAATTTTTGAGTTTCAAAAAAGGTACTATATACAAAAGTCTTTTGAGAATTTATTTTTTGCAAGAAATGGTCAAACTGTCATACAGTCATTCAAAGTCAGCTGCAGAGTGTGACAACCGGAAAATACATCTATCTCATCCAATCATACTGCATATTCAACAAATGTGTGCATAACTATGTCCCCAAAGATGCATTTCTAAGTATTTAATGCAAATAATTTTCTCAGAAACTAGGATGTAAGGTCTCTAAAATAGCATTTCTTATCTCACACTTATCTTTCACCTTTGACCTATGGACTGCTTTTTCTACATCAAAACAACTCAAGTATACTGATGAGGAAAATAAAAAAATAAAACTTCCTCCACAGTAGGATAAAACTGGAGGTAGAAATTAGCTACACCTTTATTATCAATTTAATTCAATCGTCACTCATCCAATATAAAATTGTAATTAAATATCCAGTAGATGGCGCGTGTGTACACTAAAACAAAATTCGAAGCAGATTTATGTCGGCTTTATACTATTTCTAAATTCACTCTGAATAAGTTTAGGAAATTTAGTTTAGAAGAACATCTAAGGGGAAAAAAATAACCCCGAGTCATGTTGAATAAAAAAAGTTCTACCGAGTCGTTTATTATCTATACAGACTCCAGACAGACATTCTCATTTTGACTTTTTGTTATTCGCGTATCACGTTATGCATAGGCCTATTTAATAGAAGGAAGAACATATTATGCATATTACCATGTTTATTATTTAGGAATACTTGCAAGTTATAGATCTACTATAAAATATTAATACTTTATGCAGTTTCTTTTACTCTTCAACTTAGCAGCATTCTTTGGCGCTCTGCAATAATTTTAGGGACCGGACTTTCATATGGAATGCAATATTTAGGCAAAACTTGAGACCCCAACCGTACCAAAAACTGCAATTTTTCATAACTACGCTGTAGACTAAAGGTGGATAATGAGGTATTTTTCAATGCTTTGACTACGGGATTTGTGACTTGCAAATCATGACAGCGTCTTGTCTAAAAACCATTTCTCCAATATATTAGCAATGCTTATAAAAGACAACGCCTTATCTACAACCCATCTGAGCCGTAGTTTGAGCCATTTGACAATCATGATAGTGTGCAGAAGCGTGAACGCCCCCACCTCTCTCACGCGCTCGCTTCTAGTGAAAATGGGTTTATAGCACACCTCTGACGTCATCTGGTCAGCATATTGCCTCTAATCAGAAGGTTGAAGGTTGGCTTGAAACATTAATCGGTGTTGGACATCGGCGCGTGCTCAGGGGATGGTGATTTTGTTGTCATGGTTTCAGTCATGATGTCGCCAGGTTTGATACAGCATCTTTCCGTGTGTCTTCATCCGCAGTAAAAGCGCACTTGGGGATGGAGAAAGCGACAGCCTAAAGGAGCGCAATTACTGCACACGGGGAGAAATTACACCAGCTGGGCTTCAGTGTTCCTCTTCGCGCACCGGTGTTTTTTTTTTTTAAAGGGACGTACCGTTTATCATGTCTGCGAAGGAAAGACTCAAAGGCAAGATGACCAAAGACAGCGTTACCTTGCTGCCCTGCTTTTATTTCGTGGAGGTAAGTGAGTGTAGCACACACTGAGAGAGCTATTCCTATTTGTATCATGTCTAATTCATAGAAGAGAGTTGATGGTGGTCTTCATTCACGCGATGGTCACGTCCAAAATCAAAGCAATCAAACGGATTGGAACCATAGTCAGTGTTCATTCTGCATGACTGCTCGTTAACTTAGGCATACTGTATGCAGTTCTGGTCGTGAGAAGGTCAAATGCTTTACACTTGTTGTTGTATATTATGTTAATGTTAAGGGGGTATGCGTGATATGTGAAGGGAAATACATAAACATTGTGTTCTGGCTTTTGCGCAACAAATGTTGGCTTGCTTTTTGATGTCTGCCATTCAAAAACACTCTTTTCCTGATTGCATTGGCACAGGCAACATGGCCTTAGTAGAGTAGTCTATTACTTCAAAGTCTAAGTGAAGAAGATCATCCACATTGGACTGGAGACCTTATGAAAATTAGTAAAATTAGTAAAATTACTTAAAATAAGATATAAACAATGCTGTCTCTCATAGAATTAAGAAGGCAATATTAATGTATTGGGGTTGGGATATGGACAGTTAATATATGAAGGCTAATCTGACATGGCCTAGATATCACAGACAAATGAGTGCTGATCACTGGTGTCATGGAGATAATGGTGGCAGTCTTTGATCTGTCTTGTTTACTTGTCAAGCTGCAGTGCTGAATTTAATGTTTCTTGAATATCAAAGAATATTAAACCATTCTGTTGTATGTATTAAAAACCATGGTCATGAATAGACTATTGGCTTTCTATTCGGTTTAAACAATTCATCTTAGAGAATGAGGGCATGATGAATTACTACAATATATTTTTCTAACAAGACTTGTGAGTGCCTCATTGTAAAAATGCAATGACTTCACATTTTACTTTATGTAATTAAATTTAGTAGTGAGAAAGATTTCATGATACATACCGGTACATGTTCTCATCCAGATATCAAATGTAAGGTCCTCTAAATAACTTACCTGGAATAGGCTCTGTATTTTCAAATCAGACAGAATCAAAGCTCATTGGCTGCACTGAAATTAATATCATGTTCCCAGGTGTGACCTGGTTGCCTTCTATAGAGTAGCCTTGCTGCAGAGACCTTGTTTCTATCCTAAGATGAGAATGAATTAAAAACGGAGTAATTTAATATGCTTCGCTTCACTAATTTTGCCTAATTAACTTCCCTGTTTCACTAATGTTTCAGTTTACTAAATGTGAACTACAAGATGGCCGAGAAGTTTAATTTGTGCTCTCATGAAAAAAAAAAAAGAAACATTCTTTTGACACAATATGCTGGCAGATCTAGTTTAGGTTGTAAGTTATTATTCCACACTGCTGTCTGGCCAATACTTTCCTATTTTATAAAAAAAAAAAATAGGGAAAAAATATTTAAATATCAAATTGCTTCTTGTTCAGTTGTTCAGCCATGTTTAGATGGCAAAGTAATTAATAAAAAAATCATAATATAATTTTAATTTGAGCTTTAGCTACAGATGATATAAAAATACAGATAGACTTTATTTTTAGCCGATAACTAATAAATAGCAAATATTCAAATCTTATACTATTTTATATAAATAGCACTTTATTTTTTATTTTTTATTTATTTTTTATAGTAAGTACATGTAGTTAATTGATATTACTCAGTACTTAAATGTATAATTATACTGTAACAAGGACACCTTAAAATACAGTGTAACCAAATACGTTAAAAAATAAAGCTCTAAACTAAAGTTTTAAGTGCTATAAGTCAATTTAGCCATCAAAACAGAATGTTCAGTATGTTTTTAAAGACTAAGTGAGTGTTAGACAGCAAAGATAATCAGCAAAGATAGGCAAAATGAGAATGAACAATTAAATGTTCAATATCAGACAATATATTATTGACCGATGATTAAAAAAAACAGCTGATAACCGATAAAATTTTAATATTTTTGTTTAAAGAAGAGGTAAATTGTGGCATTATTGTCAGAAAGCATTATACAAGTTTTGATGGCTTACATTAAAGGGTAGCCTATATATTGCAATGTAAGCTGTGTGTTTGTGTTGTAATAACTTAAAATATAAATGAGAAATATTTAAAGTTAAAGACATCTTCAGTTGCAATTCACTGCTAAACATCTGCAAATATACAGTCAAACTACGGAATAAATTTGTTTGCTAGAGAATTGTGGGTGGACCATAGACAATAACTGATATTTATAGGATTCACTGGATCCAATTGGTCCAGTGCAAATGTCATAGAGGTTATTAGTATTTGTGCTGTAAGATGCAGCATCACTAGGAGTTTAAACCACAGGGGCTTTTTCTGCAGATGTCCTCCCCTTTTTAGAAGGGGCTTGATTACAGTAATTAAACCCCCTACCCCCACCTTTGATCTTCATGCTGTCTGCTCAAGTTTCGTAATTATTCAGTACGATGGCATATTTCCACTTTGCATAGCACAACGCAATATATTTCCTCCTGGGAGCTGCAGCGGCGAAGACATCTCCAGCTGATCCTTGTTCATTGAGATACTATGGGGTGAACCGTGTCAACGACAACAGTAATTCTAGGATATCTAAAGACGTTCCATGTATATTCACCTGAGAATAACCTTGATTCTCCCGTAATCACACATCTTCTGTCTAACCTTAGCATGAACCTAGTACCGTTGACGAGTGTAAAAAGCCTCAGGGGATGTAACTCCAGTATAGTTTCATCCAAATCCTCATTATATGTATCGGCGTTCTCATACCAACATAATGCTGATTGTAGCAGTTAGCATGACAAGCACTAATACACAGCCATTGTAATTTAGGTTTTTAGAAGCAAGGATCTCCCAATGCATTTTCTGCTTCAGCACCAAGAGCGTTTTTTTTTTAGGAGACAAAATTTGGGGTATTACGAACAAATATTATGAAATATGATTTAAAAGGCTAACAGCGGATCTGGGGTGTGTTCCCCAAAAGCATTGTTAGCGAACTAGACATGGACTTGAATAGATCATTCTCTTGGGTACAGCAAGCAATCCTAACATGCAATACATTCTTTACTGTCCATTCTATTTGAATATATATACACTCTTAAACATTAAAGGGGTCCTATTATGCTCTTTTACAAAGTCTTGATTTTGTTTTGGAGGTGTACTAGAACATGCTCTCATGCTTGGTGGTTCGAAAAACGCATTATTTTTCACATAATTTACATTATTACAATACCTTTCTCCCCAGCCTGGCACAAACGGCTCGATTAGTTCCGGGTTTGATGAAGGCCCGCCTTCCGAAAAACGAAATGTGTTGTGATTGGTTAGCTGTCCCAGTGCATTGTGATTGGCGAACAGCTTAGTGTTTCTGTACTGCGGTTCATTATCGCAGGCGATTTGATCTGCGATAATGAACGTGATATTGCCTAATTGTCAGTGAACTACGGCTCTGTGTAGTAAATGCCGCTCCATCTGAAAGCAGGTGATGGAGATTTACTACTAATCACGGAACCGGCTTTACTGACGAGATGTGCATGACAATCGCATGCGATTAATTGCACAGCCCTATGGCATATATATGCAGGAGGCACTGTTGGAGTGGTAGAGATTGAGGTTTCCCCGGTAACGGCTGTACATAAAGCAGCTCTCCGCTCACAAACGCTGCTTTATCGGACATTACATGAATTATGAAATGAAAATGACATCCAGTTTTCTGAAGACAGTCCGTTTCTTTCAGAAATACAGTGATATGAAAACACCCACACCGGGTTTCGATTTTGAAACGTGCTGTGCTCATGTTTATTCAACGAAGTCAAAGCCTTTTGGAAAATCTATTTGTGGCGGTCAGTTTTGATATTGTGGTGGGCGCCACAAATAAATCAATGTATGAGAATCACTGTAGTCTCATAATTGAAGTGTAAATTCTGCAGATTACATCATTGTCCACTCCAGTATTGTACTGTCAGCAATTTATTATAAAAACGTTTTCATAATTGTAACATACACATTTACATACATAATTATACTTCAGGTGCATGTGTAATAACTTGCGAAAACTTGACACTACAGCAGCACTTCTTCTTCGTCATCGTCTTGTCTGATGCACTCAACCCACGACCTCGCCCCTCCCCACCCCCCAACCATTCGAAGTTCCGTAGGCGGGAATTATTTTAATGATATTCTAATGGGACGCTTTGTGACATCACAAAACCCGGAAAACAACGCACTAGTCCAAACGAGCCGTTCATTGTAGTTCTTGGAAAGGGATTTTTTTTAAACAAAATATCTCCCTTTGGAGTGGACTTTGAGATTTGTAACTTTGTAGATCTTTTTTATGCCCAAACATACACACTACACACTGACTAAAATTCAAAAAGTGAAAAAGCATAATAGGACCCCTTTAAGCAAAATAACTGGAATCTATTGTTCCATAAATAACCTTTAACATCCATGGAATCTTTGCATTCCTCAAAAGGTACTTTATGGTGTAAAAAGTTCTTCAAATTATTGAAATGTTCTTCACACTAAAGTTCACACCACCAGTGACACGCAGCAACAACATGATTCCACACATTTTCAATGGAGAGCTGGTGACTTCCTGCGACATGAGCACTAGTGACCAATGCAGAATGTACCATTGAGTGAGTCATGTGACAAAGTTAAGAAAGCAGTGAATTTCCTGAGCAACAACCACTAGGAGTGAAGACTATGTCTCTAGTGCAGGAAAGACAGGACAGAGTTCTGCAGCGATTTCACTGTTTTATATGGTTTTACTGTAACCACATGGATATAAGAAAATGTGTGGAAAAGAAACTCATCAGTCTTAGTGAGTTTGACTGATACATTGATAGTTTGTGTTGTTAGCTATATGATGCAGTGAGCAGTTTAGCACTTTTGCCGTTCATATTTACAGTTTCCCCTGCATAATGTTAAATATTAGGGACTAGAAAATTGATTATTTGTCAAATTCGAATGATGTTTTAGTCATTTTTAGCAGTACAAGTTTAATTAGTTGATTGATCGATCATTAATCTGGTTAATGATTTAATACACTGAACAGTGCTGTAGTTATATAACTGCACTCTTCAACAGCAGAATGCTACGTTTAATTCTCTTAAGGCTAATTAGAATAATCATTAATGCTTTTAAGTCAAAATAGAATGGTGTCTGTGTTTTTCTGCAATATATTTCATTTGTGATTGCATTTTCTCAAGATGGCCAGACGTGCAGTCTAACAATATTAGAGTGGCAGCATAGGAACGCCCACGAGCATCTTCACAGTACAGAGACTTGCGACATACATACATACATATATGTCTTAGTCTAAAAATTGTAATGTGTCAACAATCAGTGCCGTTTATGAACAGTGTACTTGTGCACAAATGTGTAAGTCAAGCATAAAGTAATGCAAAATTATGTTCATTACAGCAGTATCAAAAGATCTCAAATCGATTAATTAGTGTAAATTATTTTTTCACATGCATGTGATGTCATTAATGTCTGTATTGTTGAACCAACATAGCTCAAAAAATGGAGGTATAGCCATCTTATTATGGTTTCAGGAAAACGAATGTGACTAATTGGTTAGTTTCTCCAATGATGCATCATACTATAGTAGTTAATAGTCACATCGTTGTACGGGAAATACATGCAGATGAGCTCAATCCTAAACATGAAACAGTGGCAAAATACAGATGAGAAGTCACATGATCAGATACAGTACCTCCATTGCAATATAATAAGCTGATTACCTTGTCAATGGAATAATTGCCACCTATCATGTTTGCAAATTAGCCTGGATGAGTCAAACTAGTAAACTATGGGACAGTGCACCATTTGCCTAATAAAATTTGCATAATTTCATTGTTGTTTTCAACACATCTTGCATATTTAGTAAACAAGACCCATCTAATATATTATATTCCTTCCGTTTTATCTCTACAGCTCCCAATTCTGGTGTCCTCTGTGGTCAGCTTATACTTCCTGGAGCTGACAGATATTTTTAAGCCAGTGCGTTCAGGCTACAGCTGCAATGACCGCAGTCTCAGCATGCCTTACATTGAGCCCACAAAGGAGGTCATCCCCTTCCTCATGCTCTTCAGTCTGGCTTTCGCCGGGCCAGCAGTGACGGTAAACGCCAGATTGACACTCATGTTTAGAGTCTAGAGCAGTGGTTTTCAATCCTGGTTCTGGGGGCCCACTGCTCTGCACATTTTGAATGTCTCCCTTATCTGACACACTCAGTTTGGTACATGGATCTCTCTCCTAACGAGCTGATGATCTGAATCAGTTGTGTTAAATTAGGGAGACTCACAAAATGTGCAGCGCGGTGGTTCCCCAGGACCAGAATTGAAAACCACTGGTCTAGAGGGCACTCTTACGTATTCATGCAGGCCTAATGTTTGATCTCAGTTTAGAGGGGCAAGAATGAATATTACAGTGAATAATAATTCATCTATATTTGATGGTGTGCCTCCAATTTCTTTGTAGTCACCTGAAGTTGCAAATTGTTGCTAGCTTTGCACACACATTCATAGTTCGTGTTAAAGACAAGAAATCGCTTGATGGCTTTAGCTTTGTCTCAGCTATGAACCATGATTTGCTGTTTGCTGGTCAATTACAGGCAGTATTAGAGGGACATTCTCATTCTCGCATCTGAAAATCTGTGCAGGATGAGTCAGTTATATTTTTGCTTACATTTACAATACTTACTTGCAATACTTACTTCCAAAGCAACTTAAAAACATGGAATGAAAGCAAATTTGTCAAACTAAATCACCTTAAGTATGGGTTTCTCTGCTTTCACCTCAGCTAAATTGTTGTTAGCATTTCTATTTGTGTTCTCTATCTCCATTTTTTTTTTTTTTTTTTTTTTTTTGTCTCTTTC